TCAGGAAATCCAGGAGAAGAGGTGGGCGAAGGGTTGAAGGAGCCAGAGGGTCAAGGATATCACAAGAAAACCCACAGAATCAACTAATCAGGGCTCACAGGGGATCACAGAGACTAAACCAATAATCCCAGAGGCGGTATGGGTCTGACCTAGGTCCTTTGCATATATATTAGAGTTGTATAGCTTGGTGTTCTTTTAGGACACCTCATGTAGGGGTGGGCACTGTCTCTGACTCTTTTGCCCACTTTTGGGAACCTTCCCCCTCCTACTGGGTTGCCTTGTCCAGCCTTGGTATGAGGAGGAGTGCCTAGTCTTATTGCAACGTGATATGCTGTGTTTGGTTGATATCCCTAGGAGGCCTGCCCTTTCTGAGGAGAAATGGAGAAGGAGTGAATCTGGGGGAGAGGGGGAGGTGTGGGGGAGAGACTGGGAGGAGAGAAGGGAGGGCAAACTGCTGTTGGGATATAATATATGAGAGAAGACTAAAGAAAAAGAAAAAAGAAAGGAATAGGAAAGAGGCAGCAGCCCGGGACCCGCAGCTTCCACACAAGATGCTTCTTGCAAGCACCTCACATGGTTCAGGGCAGACACAGCATGACTACCCACCAGGGCATGGATTTCTGTTCTTCCTAGTTACACTAGCAGCACACAGCATATGGTCCAAGAAACCAATGGGTAAATATTAATCTTAGACTTCAAAAGGTGTGCTGAACAAGACTTTCTGGGCGTCTAGTGGGAAAACCCCAGGGGGCATTGGTTTATTGAATTTTCTCTTAGGTGTGTTCTGGTTGAGTTGATAGTTGATTCCATAGAAAAATGCATAGTTGTGTTTCTTTTGTAAAATTACACCACTAAACCTAATGTTTTAGAAATACTGGAAAATGACATCAGTTAATCAAAACAAATGTTCATGTTACACAGACGTAATCAGTGCCATGAGCTAATGTTGACTTTTTAGACTTTCCTGTGTACATGGTAATATGTTTTGTAGTGATTAGATTAGGTTAGGGACTAGAGAGTTATCTCAGCGGTTAAGAGCACTGGCTGCTTTTCCAGAGGGCCCAGGTTCAAGTCGCATCACCCACATGCCAGCTCACAACTGTCTGCAACTCCAGTTCCAGGAAATCTGATACCCTCTTCTGGCCTCCGAGGGCACCAGGTAGACATGGGATACACAGACATACATGCAGGCAAAACACTCATACACATAAAAAAATGGTAAGAATTTTTAAATTAGCTTAGGTCCAGAGTTATTTTTCGTTATCTTATCAGGTAAGCCTTTATTTTTGCTAACAAACACTTCTGTCTTTTCAAAGTGTCATGGTAGTATTTGATTAAATAAAATGAGACTTTGTTTAAAAGTATTTATTGAGTGTGTGTGTGTGTGTGTGTGTGTGTGTGTGTGTGTGTGTGTGTATACACATGCCATGGCACATGTATGGAGGTCAAAGGACAACTTGTAGGAGTCAGTTTCTTTCTCCCACTGTGTCAGTTCCAGGGACCAAATTCAGATTATCAGGTTTGGTAGCTTAGCCATCTTGCTGGCCTGAAAACATGACAATTAAATGTAACTTATTTGATGATGTATTTGTGTTTCACTGTATTCGTTGTATGTGGTATTTATGTGTGTGTGGAGGTACCATGCAGATATTTGTGGAGGCCAGAGATTGTTTTTGAGGCAGGGTCTCTCACCAAATCTAGAGTTTTCCATTCCTTCTAGACTGAATGGCCAGGGTGACCCTTGGATTGGCATGTCTCTGCCTGCCAACACTGACGTTATAACACGTGTGTTATAGATACTGTGGATACTAGGGATGTGAGCTCCATCCCAGTACTTTGGAGAGTCTTGGTCACTGAGCCACCTGCCCAGCTCTGCATGTAACCTTTATGCTTCATCACAAATGGCAGGCATTTGCTCACTGTCGGAAGATAGCTGCTGAGAGGGTTTGTGCAGAGAACTGCCTTGGGAGTTCAACCCCAGCTCCCTTAGGTACTGCTTCCCTTTCCTCTTTAGGAGAAGGTGAAGTTACCTGCAGTGAGAGCTGGTCCTTGGGCAACTGGCTGGCACCAACTCTGCTCCTCCGCACTTTTCACATAATTATTGTATTTATTTTGTCCTTACTGATGACATATTTTGTCTTCCTATGTTCATTAACTAAACAGATTTTCAGGAGAACCAAGGAGTCACGGGATACTAGAATGGAGGGGAAGAGTGAAGGTGGTCAGCCCTTTCCCTTTTTCTCCTCACAGAACTGCAGATTAGATGACACATTCCATCATCATCTAAGTCCATTCACTTCTTCCTGCTCGTCACTTGCTATCCCTTTATCCTCTGTTCTAGGATCACCCAGGGTGACACATCATGTGATGTCATCATGCCTCCCTAGGCTCCTCTTGGCTCTGCAGTCTCTTGGGCTTCTTTGCTTTACTAGTCAGCTATTTTGTGGCTTTCTTCCAGCTGGAACTATCTGCTTTTGCTTGCTATTAGAATGGGGCTATATAAGTTCTGCTTCAATCACTACATACTAACTTCCATTACATAAAATCAAGGATGTACTATGTTAACAGGATGTATGTCACTCTGCTCTCCTGGATGAGGTCATATTGGTCATATTTCTTCACTGTGACTACTCTTTTGACACTTCTTAGACCTTCACCATGTCCAGTTCACACTAACAACTTGTCCCCCTCCATAAGGGCCGTGGAGCCATAGAAATTGTTTGGCAATATGCCTAGTAGATTTTTCTGTTTTCTCACAGATTTTTGTGTAATCCATTACTAAGTATCTGTATTTTATACTTTGGGTTGTAGTTACCTCTATGTTTTGATTCATTGCTCAAAGTGATTTTTATTTAGAACCATTTGGATCTCCTCTGTCTGTCGTTTTCTTTTCTTTCTTTTTTCTTTGTACTTTTGAATTTTATGTTTCTATAATGGTCTCCAAGTCCACCTTGTGTACACTGTGTCTAGTTCTAGAACAAGCTATTTCTATAGGAAGTACCTGCTTCCCTCATTGGAGAATGGTATTTGAAATAAAAATATAAGGTGAGTTCTCTGTTGCTGTAGCTTCAGAGCCTGGAATTTTTTCTATGTCTGATAAGGAAATGTATGTGTGTGCACTAAGCCATGTAAGTGCTCCTGTCTATAAACACCTTTATATGTACACCAATACCTCTATTATGGCAATGGATTTATACTGATGTCACCAAGTCTAATCAATTGCCTGTGCATCATTCTAGCCTCCTCCTTTTGCTTAGCTGCTAACATCCATGTGGATAGTTTTCATCACCTGCTCTTCTTTTACATACTTTTTCAGTTTCAGAGAAGTGTAGAGTGTATTTGAATTGTTGATCTGCCCCTGTATGAGAAGCAACTTTATCGGCTAGAATACAGAGCTCGTGTGGAGCTCCTCTGGCCTTTTCGGTCTTTTTGAGCCTGTTTATATGTGAAGTTACTCAGGTGACCATCTTGCCTCTCATTCCCTGCAGGCTCATTGTTACTTTTGTTTGTTTGTTTGTTTTTTGTTTTTCGAGACAGGATTTCTCTGTGTAGCTTTGTGCCTTTCCTGGAACTTACTCTGTAGCCCAGGTTGGCCTTGAACTCACAGAGATCTGCCTGCTTCTGCCTCCCGAGTGCTGGGATTAAAGGCGTATGCCACCACCTCCCATCTCATTGTTACTTACATTAGCAATTCAGTCAGATTGTTTTCACACTGCATGCTGGAATCCCCACAACCCTCTCGATAGCTTTTTAAAATTGTGTAAATTAAGGATCCCTCCCCTAAGAATCTATGAATTTTGACAAATAGTGTCAGAATCTACTAGTTTCCCATCAAATGACTTCACTGCCTTGGAATTCCCACTGCTCACCTATTTAATCCTCTCTCTTCACATTAATTCTGTCCCAGCCAGTGCCCTTTTTGTCTCCATAGTTTAGTGGGTTTTTTTTTTCTTCAAGCTTATTTTGTGAGTAAAATCATATGGCACAGTTGTCTTTGCAGACTGACTTCATTCACTTAGCAATGTATACTCAAGATGTGTCCACATCTTCATACGGTATGACCACTCTTTTTTTTTTTTTATCAAAGATACTATTATATATGCCTATTGCTATTTATTTATCCATTAGCCTGTAAAAGGTCATCTTGGCTTTTTACAGTTGAGGGATATGTGAATATAGGGTTTTCAACTAGTTGAGTAAACCTAGGAGTATAATTGTTGCATTTTATGGTAAACACTGTGTCCAGCTTCATGAAATTGCTAATCTATCTTTCTCAAAGCAACTGTACCAATTTTTACTCCCATCAGCAGGAAGGAGCATTCCAAGACTTTTGGACTTTGGCTTTATACAGAACATGGTAGAACACTGTTGTTGTTTTATTTGCAATTCTTATGTGTTCACAGTTGAGTTGATCCTGTGCTTCTCTGACATATGTATCTTCTCTAGTAAGGAGTCCATTCAGATGGGTTTTTGCCCATTTTTGCATGAGATTGCTTCCTTCTGTTGAATTTTAAGAGTTCTTTGTACATTTTGGATACTAGACCTTTATAAGTATTTTGGAAGTATTTTCTCAGTGATATGCTTTTAATTAGTACTTTAGGAGTAAGTGCCACTTTTTCAGGCCCCAAAGCTTGCACACAATGCTAAATATTGTTAGCGATAGATATATCACTGCTCACCATGGTTACTTTGCTTCCACATGTGATTCCAGTACACCCAAACCTTTCCTTAACTTCATCTACTCATTACCAAGTGAACTTTATGTACTGGGCCACCACTGCCCATCTCTAGCAGTTTTTTGTCTTTATTGATTTAAAGCCAATGACCAAGTTGATATTGTGCTTATTCAATCAGTTTAGAAATCCAATTGTGTGTATGTGTGTGTGCTTCTTCTGGCTTGGAGGAGACATACAAGTCAAGAGGAAGTGGCCACAATATTTATGGCAAGTCAAGTCTCTATGAAGCTAATGGTTGTCTGTCTTCCTTTCCATGGCCTCCAGTCATCAAGCCTCCATTGCGTCACTTTAAACGCCCTGCTTATGCATCTAGCTCCTATGCACCTTCAGTTCCAAAGAAAACGGATGATCATCCTGTAAGGTACAAGATGCTGGATCAGCGGATCAAAATGAAAAAGATTCAGAACATCTCTCATCACTGGAACAAAAAATAGGGCAAGTACAAGAAGAGGGGGAGTGAAGCAGGGCCTGCCTGCCTGCCTCTCAGCACCTGTAAGACACAGCAGGACACACCTGGAAAGTCATGCAGCTGGCGCCACTGTGACTAACTCCAAGAGGCAAAATGAAGACTGCTTGAGATTCCCCTTGGTCATTCTCTTACAGATACTCCAGTCACTGGATTTGAGGTCAACCCAGACTCCAGCAAGGAATTAGTCAATGGTAGATTTATTGGATTCTATTGTATAGGTCTTTAAAAGTTTTAAGTCCCAACCAAATTAAAACAATATATCTTGTTCTGAAAAATAAAATTCTTTCCAGTACCATATTCTTTTAATTCCCAAGATAAGACTTGCCCCTATACAAACAATAGCTCAAAAACTATCTGGGTAAGAAATGTACTTCTAAAAATAACTTTTCCAATTAAAATGATGTTATGCTGTGAAATTAAAATATAATTACATCATTTTTCCTTTCTTTTCCCTCCTTCCATACCCTCATGTACACTTACCCTTGGTCTCCCTCAAAATCATGGCCTCTTTAATTGTTGATATTATATACATATATATATATATATATATCCTAAATTATATATATTTAATTATATATTTATATTCCTAAATATATAAATACAATCTGCTCGGTCCCTATGTTACTTGTATCTCTATGTTTTCAGAACAGACTATTTGGTATTGGGTGACCAGTTGGTGTGCCTTCCCCTGGGAAAAACTAATTTTCTCCCACTCTCGGCGTTCCTTATTTGCTTACAGTTCTTTGTCTATGGTTGCAGCCCTGTGAGACTTCCCTGTTCCGTGTTGTCATGTCTGTTAGTGTTGTCCAATTTTAAATGCACTGATTTAAAATGTAAAATACTTACTCAAAATTCAAGCAAATGTGTGATGTTCAAAGTAAAGACAGTCAAAACAAATTTACTTCTGAGCATAACAATCATAGGGGAAAGATGGCTGATGGGTTTTTTTTTCCATAGATTTTTTCAGAATTCAGGCTTGCCAAAGTAGATCGAAGTTTCTCTCTCTCTCTCTCTCTCTCTCTCTCTCTCTCTCTCTCTCTCTCTCTCTGTGTGTGAGAGAGAGAGAGAGACAGAGAGAGATAGACAGACAGAGACAGAGAGACAGAGAGATTGATTTTGATTCTGATCACATCTCATTCCTAGCAGCTTCAATGTACTTTGGAGAATTTGTGAGTTTTCTAGATATGCATTTGGCTCAATTCATTTTAATCCTTCCCTTCTGTCAGAATAGCCAATGGTTGATGAAGTGCCGGTAGCTTAAACTCTCTAGGCTCCAAATCTACCACATAGGATATGGTGTTGTGGAATTGAGGCAGGAAGCTGTAAAATGCTGAGTTTGGTTTTAATTTCTCATTTCCATCTTTGTCTCCCTAAGTCTAGAGATGTCTTGAAATTAAATTCTAGCTCATCTGGCCCACAGCCTGCCTACCAAAAAAAGCCAGGGGCTCTGATTTACTCTACTCCCTGCTGGTGAGACAGACATCTTTCTAAGCCACCTCTTGTTGGGTGGCTTAGCAAAAGCCATTGTTAGTTTTTCTGTAACTTTACCAATTTTTATTTTGAGGTTAAAGTCATAGAAATGCATGGGAAGTCTCACAGCTGGAGGCAGCTTTTGATCCCTCCAGAATGACTGGGGGCATCTGAAAATTCAGGTTTGATGCAAGGCAAGTCTGCACTTCCGTTCAGCCTGAGACTGGCTGCAGGGCCTTGAACTTGTGGTGTGATGCCATAAGCCCCGGTTAGTTTAACCCACTCTTCCTTTGTGATGGAATTGTATCATACTGTAGGTTTGGGATACTATTGCTATGCCTGGTGAGTAATACTAGGTATAGAGAAACATTAGTACAGAGCACTCCATATTCAGGACAGACTGTCTAGGAAAGCAAAGAGCCTTCTGTAGTAGCCAGGCTTACTTGCAGAGGGTTTAGTTCATTTCCATAGACCATAATTACCCAAGAAACAAGCTCCAGAGTCCAGTGAGCACTGTGCTGTTGGGCAGCTCATAGCTAATGTAGTTCATTCAGGCCATTGTTATACAAATGAGAAATCACTGTGACTTTTTGTTAAGGAAGACAATTGCAGTTCTTAGTTCCCTGCCCAGTGTTTGGGCAAGAAAAGCTATCTGCAGGCTGGTAGTGTACCTTCATCTGGACTGGGTTAAGTCACAGGTAAGGCCTGCTTGTTGCTACCCAGGCTCTTTAATGCTGAATGTGCAGGGCCATTAGACTGCGCATTGACGAGGTTTAGGGGACACTCTTTCCCTGTCTCTCAAAACTTGCAGCCTTAGGTTTCAGGCTTCAGTGGGGCTCGTTCTTTCGTAGTTGTTTTGGAGATTAAGGATGTTTGTTCCTTCTGTGTTCTTTTCTCTTAAGATGTGTTTAGTTTTTTTCAACCTCTGCTAAAATTTTAGTTCAACAAATGTACACATATGGAGAGTCTGCACAGTTTATAAATGCCTACCATGGTTTTGCATGCAGAAATGAGGATTATATTCTTACAGTAAATAAAAAAAGATGCTTTGAAAGGACTTTCTTGCACGAGTCATCTTTTTCTTCCTAGAATTCTGGAATTTACTTGAAAACATCCCACCCCCAGCCCCCTAGCTGGACAATATTCAGAACTGCTTCTCTTGTTAAGGTGAACAGTGCAACTCACCCTTTTCAGTTTATGAGTTTGCATATGTAGATGGTCACATTTTTAAGATAATACTCTCAGTCATGCAAACTCAGTAAGTTAATTTGCTGACATCAGTAACCTGTGATGGGGGTTACTCAGTGGGTGAACACTCTCCTTATCAACTCACTTGGCATTCCGGGGCAAGCTGCCAAGCTAGTGGTTAAGAACTGGGACTTTAGAGTTAGGAAAACAAATCATTAAATCCTGCCTCTGCCTTGAATTTACTTTGTGACTGAGGTACATAATCTCTCTCTCAACTTTTGTTTCATTTACTATAAAGTGAGGATGATAATAATAAGACCTCACCCAGGGTAGTGTGGAGTTGGCTAGAAAAAACAAACTGCAATTATTAGCTATTATTTCTTATGGAGAGAGGAGACCCAGCCTGAGGAAGAAATTGGACCTTCAGTTAGAGAACAGCTTCCCTCACTGGCTCTCTTCATGACTTAGGTGGTCATCTTCATCTTCCATGACAGGGAGTTGATGCCCATGTGGCTATTTGCACATTACTCTGTATTAAAGGCTATAATATATTCATCCATAGGGTAGAAACACAATATCCCCACCCCAATGTTCCTTTGTTATGTGTCTCCCACACTTTAGGGTTCTTGAGCCTCCAACTGTTATGGTTGGTTGTTTCTATCATGTCCTACTTCCTCTGAAATCCCTGACCACCTCCCTGCACCTTGTCTTCTACAGTAGCCATCCTTCACTCTTCAATCCCAGCACGATGGCTTTGCTCCCCCGAAGTGCGCGCGCACGCGCACACACACACACACACACACACACACACACACACACACACACACACACGTCAACTGCACAGAACTTGTCCTGGAGGCACAGCATGATCCGGACATCAGTAAGGACAGTCCCCCTTTGTGCAGGTGATCTCACTGACTGTGGCTCTTTCAGGGACAGATTTGCCTCTGTCCTCTTGCACCTCTATTGTCACCGTCCTCCTCCAATCCTGAGCCCGACATTCTCATGAATGTGTAGAATGACCCACTTTGCATCCATCCCATGACACAAGCTCTGGGTATTTTCAAAGCATACAGGCACACTCTAGAAAATAGCTGACACAGTTTTAGGCCTCATTTCTGCAAGAACAAAGAATTCAGAGAATCTTTGCCATGGCAGTTTTCCCTTTACTACAATCCAATTCTTAGGTAAGACTAGTCTCTGTAATAAAACAGCAGAATAACTATCTCTCTCTCTTTTCTGTTCCCAGCCTCTGACCAGCATAAACTGCAAGAATTCTAGTTGTTTCTATTCAATTTATTCCAATATACACAAGGACAGGTTCTAACACGAATCTTAAAAGGTCTTATTAATAAAAACAAAGAAACCTGGAGCCAGATATTGGGGTGATACCTGAAAGATCAAAGAAACAGAATAATCCACAGCCAACCTTACCTCACCAACTCTTCAGCAAATCCTGTTTCCATGAATCCTCAGACTGAAAACCTCTGAGTCCTCACCCCTGAGGGTCTCAGTTGAACTGCTCTAAAAAGCCTCTAGTTCCTGGTCCTCATGCCTTATATACCTTTCTGCTTCCTGCCATCACTTCCTGGGATTAAAGGCATGTATCCTTCCCAAGCAAAGACATGAGATCTCAAGTGCTGGGGTTAAAGGTGTGTGTCACCACATATGGCTCTGTTCCCAGTGTGGCCTTGAACTCACAGAGATCCAGACGGATCTTTGCCTCCCTCCCGAGTGATAGGATTAAAAGGGTGTGTGCTACCACTGTCTGGCCTCTATGTCTAATCTAGTGGCTGGCTCTGTCCTCTGATCCCCAGATAAGTTTATTAGGGTACACTATTAGGGTATACAATATATTGGGGTGCACAATATATCACTACAGACAAGTCATGGCTGTCACTCACAAATACTCAGAACACTGATCTTCATCTCTCCCTCCCATAACTGCCTAAATCCTGTCATCTATGTGCACAGCTCCTGCACACTCCAGTGTAGACGAATTTCTAAACAGTCTTATTAAATAAAAAAACACAGAGCCAAATATAGGGGTGAAAACCTGAGAGATCAGGGAAATAGGGAAAGCCACAGCTAACCTCACCTCACCAACTCCGCAGCTTCCAAAAATGAGCTACTTCTTGTCTGCCCACACCTATATTCCTTGCTGTTCTGCCGTCTGATTTGATCTCTCTGTTCAGCTACATCACTTCCTCTTCCTGACCAGGTTTGTCACTTCCTGTCTGTCTGTACAGACCTCCAGACCTCTATGGTTAACTAGTGTTGGAATTTAGGGTATGTGTCACCACGCCTGGCTCGGTTCCCATTGTGGCCTTGAACTCACAGAGATCCAGACAGATCCTTGCCTGCCAAGTGATAGGATTAAAGGCATATGCTATCATTGCCTGACTTCTATATAGCAGCTGGCTTTTTCCTCTGATCTCTAGGCAAGTTTTATTTTATTGGGATACACAGTATATTAGGGAACATAATACATCACCACACTCCAGCATTCCCATTGTTGTGGTTTTCAGTTTCTCTATGGGATAAGATATGTTTGAGAGGTTGGTAACTCTTAATTTTGAGTCTATGATTTCTATCTACAACCCTGTTGCTAAGACAAATGGCAGGTCATTTATTCTTCTGCAAGGCTTCAGCTTAGTTCCCATTAGATGCCAGCTTCACTTGATCAATTATCTTTTATCTGTTTCTAATGAACAGAGCCTACTGAGCCAATTCCTTGTTTTATAGGAAGTCTGTTGAAAACTAGAAGGAAGGCTATTTTAGGACTGGAGTCTGGGATGCATAAAAGCGTTAAACTGTGCTTCCTTGCAGGGTGCTCGTTATACACCCCAGTGACCACCACAAAACCAGCTGAAGCAAGAGGAAGTCCTTTTGTGCCACAGATAAAGTACGATTGTGCTTTCAAGACTGAAATAAAAGACTTATAAGTATTAATTATACTTTCATTATAATCAGAGGATATTAAGAGCTGCTTTGGAGTGCTGACAAAAGATGGAAACTATGGCATCCTGTTCAGACCTGCACACACATACTTATGTTCATCTGGGATTCTCTGTGACTTTTCCATGGCATGCTTGTTTACATACCGGGGTCAAATGGTCAGCTAATCTAGAAATACAGAAATACCTCACTTAAAAATCAGTTGTTGTCCTTTTAGCAAAATCTTTCACAGCACACTAGTGAAAAGATCTGACATGTTAAGGCATAAAGGTAAAAGGATACTAAACAAATATAACAGCAGAAATAAATATGATCAAAGTGCTAGAGATTAGAATTATAGAACAGAGCTCCAGCCAATGGATTTTAAGCTTATTTGTTGGTTTTGAGTATCTACCACGATTCAGGGTCTTTTGTATATACTAACATATTTAATTCCCATAAGTAAACCTGTCTGGGAAGGCTTACAATTCTTATTGCAGATCAGTAAATTGAGACTCTGAAATTTTGTAGCAGGCTGAAATGGAGTGAGTGGCTTAGTTGTATAGAATGTGTCTGGAATGCATTTGGCTCTAGGTTTGATTCACTGCACTGTAACAAAGATATCTGTGGCAATGTATATGTGATATCTTCACAGAGAAAAGTTAAAGAGTCGGTCAAATGGAGACGTTCCCATGGCAGGGCTCCATATCATGATTCTGCTTCACAGATTCTTCTTCATGTTGTCCCTTTACAAATGTCACAGCTGCTTGCCCATGTCATGAATATAGTTCAGTCATATTCAAATCATTAGGGCACAGAACTCAGGACCAGTTTTTTCCCCTAAAACACTGGACTTCTAGTTTCTCTCATTCTTTTATTTAAATTGTTCCCTTTATCAAAGCTTTGCTATACAATTGGCATTCTGTATATGCGGGTTCTACTTCCATGAATTCAGCCAACTATAGAGTGAAAACATTCAGGAAAAAATGTGCCTATTCTAAACATGTGCATGTTTCCTTTTCTTGATTTTATTCTCTACACAATACAATATAATGACCATTTAGATATAACTTACATTCAATTAGATATTTTAAGTAGTCTAGAGATGAATTATATTATATTGGAGGATTGTACACATTACCTGTAAATGCTGTATCATTTTCTATGGGACTCGGTCACTCACAGATCCTGGTGTCTGCAGCATGATGAAACCAGTGCTTTGTGGATACAGAGCGGGAAGTCTTGTGATTTTGCAAATATTACTATTCATAAATCTGGCCTGTGTCTTCTATACAACATTGTTCATTGAGTGCATTTTACTCACCTCTTGTCAGTTAACCCAAATTAATGACTCCTTTCTCAATGTCCTCAACATGGTCGATGTGGAGGAATCTTTTTCTGTCAGTTCTGTCTTCCCATCGTGGATAGATGACTCTACAGCATCTTTTATCTTCTCTTGCATCTCACAGGTGCTATATTTCTTCTCTTCTTTAAGCCAGTCCTTGCCATTGAGTCATTCTCCTCTGTCTGCTGCCAAAACATCCTTGCATTTAAGGTTCACTGAGAATCAGCAAGAAAACCAATGCAGCTATTGAGTAAAATACCTTTCCAAAGCATCCTGATGTCTTCACGGGCCAATTTCCACTGACCAGTCTTTCCCAAGGTTGTTTGCACAATTTCACTTAGTGAGCTCTGACTAGTACTTGCTTGTGTGGAATATGCTTTCTGTGTTTGTTTCTCTCTCCCTCTTTTTCTACATTGCTACCTTGTGTCTCCAAAATCTTTCAAATAGTATCTTTCTCAGAAATTCTCTTCACAAATAGTATCTTTTCTCAGAATTGTAATTATTCTTGATATTATCCAAACCTACGAGTCCTTCCCTTCACTTTTGTAATTCTCTATCTGCATCCCCAATTGCTGGTTGGACTTCTT